ACATGGGCAGCACAGACGGGACGACGCCCTGCGGCCACTCCCCGCCTGCCCGCCGCCTCAGGGGCCCAGTGATGGGGACCACTAAGTGTCTTAAACAGCTACAGGGAGAGAGGGGAAAAGAAAGGCAGGAGGGAGGGAGGGGAGGGGGGTAAGGAAGAAGGAACAAGAAACAAAAAGAAAAAAGAATCTGGCATCTATCCCCATAGAAAAATGGCATTCACCGGTGAACATGGGTGAAAATGGTCCCCAAATGACTGACAGTGAAATTGATTAAGGAAACGATGGCCAGCTTTTAATGTAGCTCTAAACTGTTTTTTGTTTTGTTTTGTTTTTGTTCTTTTAATTAAGGTGCACTCAGAGTATAAAAAAGTAGGGGAGTTATACAGCAGCCAGATGAAATTTGGGCGAGGTCTTAAAATCACATTTTGCAAATTGCACCCCAAACTCCTTCAGGGCAGATTTCTATCCCAATCTCAAATAGCCCTGCTGTTAGAACCAATGTTTTACAAACATGGCAAGGGTCCTGCCCATCTTCTGGTGTGATGTAAAAGGGGCATACATTTTTCCTTAATGACCTGTAAAGCATATTTCAAGCTTAATCAGTGAATCTCAGGAACTTAATTTTTTTTTACTACATATTCAAAATATTTCTAAAAACATTCAGTGTTAGGGATAAAAGTTTGCTTATTCCACCTGTCAAAAATTAGCAAATATTAAGAGTCAAGAGAGCATTTTTCTCATGTTATCAATAAAATGGTCTTCAAGCTTATCAAAATGCATTAAACAACTTGATTTAAAGTAATTTTCTACATTAAACTTCAGGAGTTTAAATTAATTGCTAGGCATTGACCTACAATAAGAAGTGTTCCATCTCTCCTCCTAAGTGAATGTTTACTTTAAAATTAAGAGTTAGTAAACCTAAAAAGAAAAAAAAGAATCTCAGTAAGCAGTTGTTAAAAGCTCTGATAAGAATTCTTCCAAGAATTTTCTATATCTTTTCTAAGAAAAAATAAAGTTATTAAATGGTAACAAAAATATATACTTTAGGGCAACTTAATAATTAACCATACAAATACATGCATTATGAAACATTGAACACATTTATCCAATTTCTAACAAACACCATTTAGAAAAGGGTTTCAGTGATAATAAAAAGAAAGCTATAAGCAAACATTTTGACAGGAGGAATGTGAAGAATTAGAACAAAGTGCTTAGGAAACTACAGTGCGTGTCTGTGTTTGTGCGTGTGTTCATGTGCGTGTGTATGTGTGTGTCTGTGTTTGCACGTTTGTGTGTGTGTGGTATTATTCTTGTCCTTTCTTTTGCCTCCTTCTGAAATTAGGTAAAACTTTCCAAAAGATATAGAACTGGATAAAATTTCTTCTTGAGGTAATTTGTAACCCCAGTTCTAGGGGCTGATGAAAATATCTTGGGGGAAAAATGTATTTAATTTTTTGTTTTAGGTATCTTAGATGTACCATCATAACAAAGAGGTGCTTTTCAGCTAAGTACTTTCTGATTTTATTTTTTGTGAATGGGAGGTATTTTATATGATGCAGTTTTTCGTAATATTTTATATTTAGACTTACTTTCATCCATACATAAGAAACCAATTTCTATACATTAAATCTAGAAGTTGGTAAGCACTGGAATGAGTTA